ATTCAATTAATCATTTTTTAATCGCGAAAGTGATAAACATGAAATATGTATTGTCGCGAATCTCGAGTGATATGTCAACAACTGAGTGCCTACTTCCATAATTTATAACATAAATAGTCGTTTATTTATTAAAACAAGTGGCATTTATAAGATTATCACGTAATGTATGTTGTGATTTATTTTCTCTTGCTATACAAAAAACAAAGAGCACTATCTTTTTAGATGATCAACTATTAATATACGAGCTATAGAAGGCAGGTGATTTAATTAGTAAAATCAAATCAAATTGAGAGTTGCTTTTGACAAGTATTATTAAATATACAGGGTTGCTCACCACATACGACACGGAGTATTGTAGCTAAACGATTAGATTTTTACAAATTGTAAGTTTTGGGTTGGTTGAAGGTCTATTAGAGCTACAATTTAAAAATATTTTTACAAGATACAAAGTGTCCCAAATAAGTAAAAAATATTATAGTTGTATTTTTTTAAATGGAACACCCTGTATATTATTCTATTTTTGGATTCTACGATTGACATAAAGGTAAATTTGATTACGGTTTATCACACTTAAACCTTACGGTTTTTGAAATATTTTCAATTTTATAAAATTGCAGTAAAAAATTTAAGGCTTTATTTCTCCAAGGGTATCAAAGTTTTTAATACTAAATATTTACTGAAGATTATTTATTGATCAGATATTGTGTTGCAATAATAAAAATTTTACTACCTTATACAGAGTGTCCAAAAATTTATATTAAGTAATTACTAGCTTTAAACGGCAATAATTTGTTTAATTTAAACGGAACACCCTATATATTTTACGTGAATCAGATGCACAATGTAATTGTCTATCAAATTGTATTGTTCCATTTTTTACCCATCTCTTCAAGTTTTCATAGAAAATGCATTTTCTTATAATTTAGACCTCATTTATCACTATACCCATGGAACATTGACATTTTAGCTTATTTTTAAAAATGTAACAAATTTTCAAAGGGTACAGATACTAATATTGTTGATATAGTTCGCTTATTTAATTAAAAAATAAAAACAAAACTGTTTAAATATTTTTTGTTAAAGAGGACCAATTAATATGATCCCAGTATTCAATCTACATTAATTGACTGTTTACGTTGTAGTAATAATTGCTCCAAATACTAAAAAACTGAATTTTGTGTGTGTATTAGACAGTGTGGTAAAAAGTAACACCTTATAAATTTTGCTTATAAACGAATGCTTATTTATAGAAACAGAGACATTTATTTTTATATCTTATTATTATATTGATTTCTGAGCCAAATCCACATTTATTTAGAATATTTTATCAATTAAAACAATTTAAAAGTATGTAATTAACTAATTTTTGGTATTTTTGGTAGGAAATAATGGTGGTATATTTAATTGGTACACACTTTTACAAAGATTTAAATAGTTTTTTTGTATGCCAATTGGCTTGCAATATTTACTACCTGTACAATTTGTACATATTATGGTGCTATAAAAAAATCTGAAATGTCAATATTCCATGGGTATAGTGATAAATGAGGTCTAAATTATAAGAAAATGCATTTTCTACGAAAACTTGAAGAGATGGGTAAAAAATGGTATAATACAATTTGATAGACAATTATATTGTGCATCTGATTCACGTAAAATATATAGGCTGTTCCATTTAAATTAAACAAGTTATTGCCGTTTAAAGCTAGTAATTATTTAATATAAATTTTTGGACACTCTGTATAAGGTAGTAAAATTTTTATTATTGCAACACAATATCTGATCAATAAATAATCTTCAGTAAATATTTAGTACTAAAAACTTTGATACCCTGGGAGAAATAAAGCCTTAAAATTTTTACTACAATTTCATAAAATTGAAAATATTTCAAAAACGGTAAGGTTTAAGTGTGATAAACCTTAATCAAATTTACCTTTATTTCAATCGTAGAATCCAAAAATAGAATAATATACAGGGTGTTCCATTTAAAAAAATACAACTATAATATTTTTTACTATTTGGGACACTCTGTATCTTGTAAAAATATTTTTAAATTGTAGCTCTATAGACCTTCAACGAACTCAAAACTTACAATTTGTAAAAATCTAATCGTTTAGCTACAATACTCCGTGTCGTATAATGCTCGTAATGTCGTATAAATACTCCGTGTCGTAAACAACCCTGTATAAACATGAAATTTTGATATTAAAATAATTTATCAAAACATAAAGTTTGGTAAAAACTACGTTCATTTGTGTGATGAAATACTGAGTGTCCTATCAATGGCGGATACAGAGGGGCGCTCATGGGGCCCGGGCCCCCCCCTAAAATCTGTAAATTGTGTAAAATATTAGGCTTTTGGGTTAAAAATGGCGCCCTTAAAAGCATATTCTCCATTGCTTATTATTTTGCCCCCCCCTAAAATAAATTCCTGTATCCCGCCCCTGTGTCCTATATTTGAAAAGAATTTAAAATTACCTTTACAAAAATATACCACACTTGATATTTTATTATAATCCCCTTCGAAATACAGAATTTTTATAAGTTCGCCACTTTTAACTAATAGGCTTTGGACCCCTTATTGATGATCTGCCCCTAATGGAACTCGAAAACATATTTTTCCAACAAGACGAGGCACCGCCACGGAACGTTGAAGTTATCAGCAAATTTTTGCAGCCAATTTCGAGAATAATTTAATTGCTAACCAAGATTCCAGACGTTGGCCGTCCAGGCCGCCAGACTTAGTGCCTGTTATGCTTAGTGGATTTTTATCGTTGAGAAAGAATAAAGGTTCTTATTTTTAAATTGCCCGTATAATCTAGACAAGAATTAGAAATACGTAGTTTTTAATCTTTTACCCCATTGATTTAATAAATTCCGCGAGAAATGTTCAAAAACGGTCCCGTCTGTCCATAACAGAAGACGGTCGACATGTCGAACACCTGTAGCAAAGACTCATATCTTTTTATATTGTTATTAGATATAGTTTAAATGTGTTGATGTTGTTAAATATAGTTTAAATTGTTAGAAAATTTTGCATCTCTCATTGCAAATATCATTTTCGTTTTAATTTTGCTCACAGCTACAATTTTTTGCATTACAGCCGGCGCCGTTTAAAGGTTGATTCTCACTATACCTTCCGTTTCCATTCCATATCCATTCCATATCCGTTCCGTATTTTTATTTTATTGACGCTATACGTACGCTTCACGGAACGGAAGCTTACGTATAGCGTCAATAAATTGACGCTATACGTAAGCTTCCGTTCCGTATCAGTTCCATACTTTTTATTGTACAATTTATATCATTACGGAAGTTTTATTTTAAAAATCTTTTGAAAAAGGTAATAGATTTAATTAAGAGGTGAAAGGATAAATAAATATTAGCAAAATTTTAACAGAGCTAGTAGAAATGTAAGACCTTGACGACGCTGTTTCCGATACGCTTCAGTTCGTCCGCCAAAAAAATGTATGGAAGGAAAGGAGATGGAACGGAAGAGAAACGGAACGGATAGTGTGCATTGTCCTATTCATTTACATGATATAATATTTTATGTAAACGGAAGGGAAACCGAAGGGAGCTGATATGGAAGGTATAGTAACCATTATTAGAATCAACCTTTAAGCCTACTAATTTAAAGTGGGCGAATTTTTATAAACTCTATGCCTGGAAGAGGAATCGAGCAAAATATCAAGTGTTGGAAATGTATTTTTGGAAAGGTAAATTAAATTCTTATCAATGAATTAAAAATATACTAGGTGTCCCATATAAAAAATCAAATTTTCTGTTGATAATTCTTAAATTATTAATTTAAAAAAAATTATCTATTATCTCCTATAGAAAAGAGTGTTTCGCGTTTCCCTTCAAATGCGTCCAATTTGACCTACCCTGTACTTATTTATATAATGTTCACATACATACTTGTAGAAATGTTCATCAAATTTTATCTGAAAATTAATAAGAACTTCGAAAATGTTTTCAAAAACGTTATTGACCTGACCCTGGAATTGAAATATACAACCCCCCCCCTCCCCCCAATTTTCACATAATATATAAGATTTGCTCTGTATAGAAATATAGAGTTTGTTTCATTATACGCGGTTTTTATTTTCTTCAAATAAGTGCAAAATAACCGAGTTATTTTACTTTGAAAATTAAAAAAAAGAAATTTCTTAAATTTGAATGAACCACTGGATCTTTTCTGGATTTTTAGCCGACCATATCAACAGGTATGGTAGGCTATTAAGATCGACAAAAAAAAGTTTTTTTAAATTTAGTTAAAATGAGTTATTTAGGTCATAAATGACCTAAATACAAAATATTTTCATGGTGTCTGTCTGTCTGCCCGTCTGCCTGTAACACGATAACTCAAAAACCGCTAAACCGATTTTAACCAAATTTGGCACAAAAATATTCTGGCACCCGAGAATCTGGCCATTAGTTTTTGGTGGGGGTGGGGGGTTGGTAAGGGGATATGGGAGGGGGTTAAAATTTTAAAAAATCGTAACTCCAACATTACAGTAGCTAGGGAAACGCGGTTTTCAATTTAAGATTAGGAATAATATTTGCAACAAAATTTGTAATAACATTAAAATCAGTCAAAGTCGCAGTTTTTGAGATAATTGAAACCAAAAGAACTGCCTACCAACTTTTTATTAACATATTTTAGTATGGGCTATACGTGCCTCTCGGCGCCAATTATTTTTTTCTTGTAAAATTAATCTACTACCTGTGTTCTCATATTATCAAGAAATCATGTTTTTTAACGTTCACGTAAAAAAACTCATAATCGTGTTTCTAGGGTCGAAATAAATATACTACCCCTAAAAATATTTGCACTTATTTAAGACTTACCCTATATTACCATCCAGCACATTATAGTGTAAAAAGCAATCCAAAAATCTGAATTTATTTTACACTTACACACTCGCCGTATCGTATTATTTAAATTGCCTAAATTAAATAAAAGATACGATTTTTTTGTGTATTAATACACTTACCTGTTAATAAACAACCACTCAAGATAAGACCGAAAATCGGAAAAAAAATCTTAGTCATATTGAAGAAAAAATCACACAAAATCAGTCCGAGTGCAACACCTTAGCGAAAAACACTGAGACGACACTTCTATCACCTTAGCATAATTTTTTCAAAGCAATGGACTGATTAGAAAGTGTGTCGACTTATTATATTTAAAATATTATCTCAAATAAACAAATGGCTGACAAAATCATAATGAAGACGAGCCCAAAACTTAAGCCCACTGTTTGCAAAAGTATAATATCCGTTGAAAATAGTAAAAGTAATCGTAAAACAGTTTGTTTTCAGATAACTTTTTTTTATTGTGAAACTATCTTACCCATTTTCAATGTTACATATTAATTATTGGAAACCACAAAAATATTTTACTACGTTGACTTAATGAAAAATATTGATATATCGGTAATTTTGGTTTATAGCACTAAGTATTCCAGAAATCAAACTTTATAGTTTTCCGGAAAACTTTAGCACACTGCACAGAAAGCTTTAAGTAAGAATACTTAAAAAATTAACTTAACTTAAACTGATTACAGTTAAATATGCAATATACAGGGTAGCGCCTCTCATACGCCGCGGAAGTTCCAAGGAGAACGGTAGTTTATATCGAAATGAAATTTTGACAGCATATGTAGGTTAACTGAAAGCATTTTATAAAAATTTTATAATAATTATACATGGTGTTCCCCAAAAATGTTACACATCAAAGTTGTGTTAACATTGGAAATGTTTATGTTCGTATATGGGAGATAAATTTCGAGTTTTCTTTCAAGGTCGTCAGCAACGGTGTCGCACTAAGGATACATTAAAATACGCAACCAACCGTCATTGAACCGTCCAATCAGATCAAAGGAGTAATCGTCGTAGATCGTGCGTTATCGATAATGTTCGGTGCCTGGAGAAAATTGACAATTGACAAGAGAATTGTTTATTATTTTTGACTTTTTAGTTCGTTTAATTTAATAATTACTAAAACCAGTAGTTCGAAAGATATATTTAAAATAAAAGATAAAAATCAAAAAAAAATTAATTATCTATTAACGTGGATTTGGACGACAATAGGTAAGAACACTAAATTTATTTCTATATTCGATATAAACTTGTTTATTAGGTTTTTAGTTTGTGATGTTTCATTGATGATCATTTTCATGTTCATCGTCTTTGAATTGACATGAGGATATCTATGGAAAAGTAACTAATCTGAAAGTAAGCCAACATATCGTTTGTCCTTTGTGTGCTAAAGAAAAGATTTTCTTTTCGCATCATGAGGAAGTATTACATCAATTAAAAAATGTTAGGAAGTTGATTACTTGTCATGGAAAAGTATACCAATGGAAATTATTTGTTAAAGAAGTATAATTCTAAGGGTAAATTTTATTATAATTAGTAACCTGTCTATTTTTTATACGTAGATGTTTCAGGTTTTAAGAATAAATTGGTTGAACCCAAAATCTGGAGGAAGTACCTATATCCATACACAGAATATGCCCATTAAAAATACTAGTCCAAATTTGCTTTAATGGTAGACAATTATTCAATACAAATTAACTTTTTAAGTGACTGAAATATTAAATAGTTTAGAATATGGTATAACAATGTAAAAAAATATTATTTTCAGGAACGATTAGGGCCCGATATATTTGAAACTCATGTTGGACATAGTATTGAGTTGGGTAGAATATTATTCTACGTTAAGTGAGGGTATCAGATACCTATTATTGTACTGTATTTTAATATATACATTAGAATTGTTGGTTTTTTCATATTTGTTTTATTTATTATTTTACTTACAAGTTATATAAAGTTAACACTAAAATCTACTTTTTGACTTATATAAGTTAGTCTGTGGTTTAATGCGTGATTACATCCACATGATTTCAAGTTTTTAAAATATAAATATTATAACTGGCTTTAAAAACTCCATTAAACTGTTAAAAGTGTAATTTATTTCAAAATAAATATACATATATAGGTATATATTAATATCGAAAAACATTTTTATTCCTTAACACCAATTTAATCATCACATACATATGTATAAACATTTATTTACGTTATTTCAAATGAAGACCACAGGAAAAACCAGCTTTGTTCATTTTAACTGGAGCCGAGAAAATGCAATTACGAGTGAACTACTCTGGTTTTTCTCCTGTAGGGCAAAATAACTAAGCTGTAATATCTCTGGGACTAAGCATATTATTATTGCTTTCTTTGATGGTGCCTCGAATAATGCTAACACTTGCCTATAAAATTGTCTCGCTATCAATTTCTATGAAAATGTAACATATTATCTGGTTTTTTCCATGTAGTCTTCAAATGATCTAAAAATTCAGCAGGAATGATCCATTATGCAGCAAACACACTGATGTTGAATCATGGGAAGCTTTTTTGTGGGCATTTCACAAATAAAATGAAATGTCTGATCAAAAACTGAAAATGCAAAACAGATAGTAAGCTTTATAAATACATACATATATATAAATAATCATACCTACATCTATTTATGTCGTACAATCCAACCGATATTTTAATATCCTAGCCCAAGTAAATAATCAAAAATGCACTTTTTATATCAAAAGCAGTATGTTATCAAGGGTTCCAATTAATATCCAGGATTTAAAAAAAAACACGATCCTAATTCTTATTATTTTTCTAAATACGTATTGTCTGATAGGCAATTACAAAATATAAATCTGATGTGAATAGAAAAATAAAGTAAAAACTGTAAAAACAGGTAAAAACAACAACAAAAATTCTAACCAAAGATTTAAACCGTCATACGACATGAGCATCACGTGATTGCACAATACCCAACGATAGGGTACGTACCTCTTTCATCTGATTGGACGGTTGGTTGCGTATTTTAATGTATCCTGTCGCACCAGCCGCACAGTCGACCAGATAAAGCATCAAAACTTTGTCGCGTGATGCCTAATGTAGACAGCACTAAACTCTTGGCGATATACGAGGTTTAATTTTGTTAGTACCGACGATATTACTTGACGACTATGCTACGGGGGGCCATTATAAAATTGAATAGATTGATATTGATATTTGCAAAGGTTACAAAAGAGTACTATTTTCGTAATTTTTGATTTGGGTTTTGACAATTATTTACGTTGTTTGTAATGAAACGATATTTTTATTTAGGTATTGATATATTTCAGAAAGAATTTAAGGATTAAAAGATATAATATATTTACTTAATTTCAAGGTATCTGCATGAAAAATCAAGGCTATATTTATAAAATAGAATGTTATAAAATAGAATATGAATATTTAAATATTTAAACTAACCTAAAATAAAACAAAATAACGTTGAACGTAAACAAACACAACTATAATATACAGGGTGTCATTGAAATGGTGTAAAAAAATCGGGCGGTGATAGTACTCCTAAAAATAGTAAAAAAAGTTCCTATAAGTATAGGGCGGAAAATGTATATTAAGGGAGTTAGGGGCACTGAAAGGGTGAATTTAAAAAACGGTTGTTTTAAAATTGTAGGCTTAAAAAACGAGATAAAATTTCGAAAAAAAATCCTCTGCTATAAATTTTGACCCTAAATCAAATGGTGATACTGAAAAATTATTTGGAAAAGTGGAAAGGGTAGTTTTTGCAAGGATAGGGGCTTTTTTCGTGAATAACTTTTTTAGGTTATTTTTTTTGCAACGTGGGTTCATTTTTTGAAAACTACATACTTTTTCCTACAAAAAAGATACTCTTGTTGCACATCGCCCAGAGCGATGGTTTTCGAGAAAATTGAAGACAAAGAGTTTGCTCTGATGGGTTGCTAACTGGTTAATCAACATAAACTTATGAAAGTTATGGCGGTTCAAAAGTAACCAAGCAGTTATCAAATAATTAATTGAAAAATCAAAATTTCATGATTTTTAAAACATCTTATTGCTTTAAAAAACGAAATAATCCAATTACCAAAATTCCTTATTAAAATAATGCATTCCTTAATTCATTCATAGTAAATGTTCAAAGTGACCACCATTCATTTCAATGTAGACATCTGATCTTCTTCTCCACGATCTGCGTAGATACCCTGTGGAATATCCTTGGTGTTGTTCGAATTTGATTGGAACAATCAATAATGCGTTGCCGTAGTTGCTTTTCAGTATTAATCGGCACTGAGCAAACCAAATTTTTTTAAAACCAAAAAAGTTTATTTCGTTTTTAAAGCAATAAGATGTTTATATGTTCATGAAATTTTGATTTTCCAATTAATTATTTAATAACTACTTGGTTACTTTTGAACCGCCATAACTTTCATAAGTTTATGTTGATTAACCAGTTAGCAACCCATCAGAGCAATCTCTTTGCTTTCAATTTTCTCGAAAACCATCGCTCTGGGCGATGTGCAACAAGAGTATCTTTTTTGTAGGAAAAAGTATGTAGTTTTCAAAAAATGAACCCACGTTGCAAAAAAAATAACTTAAAAAAGTTATTCACGAAAAAAACCCTATCCTTGCAAAAACGACCCTTTCCGCTTTTCTAAATAATTTTTCAGTGTCACCATTTGATTTAGGGTCAAAATTTATGGCAGAGGATTTTTTTCGAAATTTTATCTCGTTTTTTAAGCTTACAATTTTAAAACAAGCGTTTTTTAAATTCACCCTTTCAGTGCCCCTAACTCCCTTAATATGCATTCTCCGCCCTATACTTATAGGAACTTTTTTTACTATTTTTAGGAGTACTATCACCCCCCGATTTTTTTACACCATTTCAATGACACCCTGTATACAAAAATTACAAATTTCTTAAAATTGTCAGTTTTGGGTGTTTTCTCTTTTCACGAAATATTGTGGAGTTGTCTGAACTTGCACTGTTACAAAAGTCGATACAGCTGTGACATGTATGCTTTAAAATAGATTTTCGAAAAATGTATCCACCTATACAGGGTGTCCCAGAAATAAGTGCAAATATTTTAAGAGGTGGCAGATCTCGATAAAAGAAACATATTTTCTCTTTATCGTTTTTCAAATAAGTCCAAAATAACGGAGTTATTTTACTTTGAAAATTTCCAAAAAAAAGATTTTTTGCTAAAATTTTGAGAATCACTGGATCTTTTCTGGTTTTTCTTTCTTGTAAATTTAATCTAATACCTATGTTTTCATATTATCATGAAATTATGTTTTTTAACTAGAAACTAAAAAAATTTCCAAAAAAATTTTCAAAAAATTTCGAATTTTCAAATTTTTTTTTTCGCGAAAAAAACCTCATAGGCGTGTTGCTAGGGTTGAACTCTACTACCAGTTAAAATATTTGCACTTATTTCTGCGACACCCTGTATAGACTAATGCACATTCAGAAAATGAAAAAGTGGAATTATGGTAGTGATATCAGAACTTCCTTCTATTAATTGTTTTTTTTTTAATTATGTTTATTTTTTCTTCTAATCATTATTAGTTATTATTATTAAGAATGGTGTTTTTTTATATCAAGTGTAGCTGCAAATATATAATGTTAATTATGTTTTATAAGTCATGTTATCATTTCCAATGTCTCTGATGGTTGCAGCGATTGCGAAATCTGTGAGTTTTTTTTTCTAATGGAACACCCTATATATTAATTGATTTTCGGATTCTAGGAAAAAAATAAAGATGAGTTTTATTAAAGAATCATATACCTAAAATCTAAGGATTTTGACATATTTCAGATTTTGTGAAAACGAAGAGAAATAAATTTTAAATTTCGATAACAGCTACCTAAGTTTTAGTTGACCTTGTGTAGCCTGATATTTAATTACAGTAACCATTGTATCTTAAACCAAATTGAAATTTGACCCGAAAAATTATACAGGGTGAGACAAACTTAATATGGAACATGTGGTTAATGAGTTCATCATCAGTCAGTAGATCGTTATTATTTGAAAAAAATCTAGGTGGCTGTGATATTCCTTTTGTTAATTTAAAAAAAATTAAAGATTGTAGAGTACGGTAATAAAAAGATACACGTTTAAAACATGTTTTAATTATTACAGTATTAAAACTAGATATAAACCTATAATTATGTGACAAAAATTAGCTAGATGAAATCGAACACTTAAAATGCTTCCTTTTCTGTTAACTGCATAGAGAATGATTGTCTTTTCAAAAGGATCTTTTCATTTTAAAAGGCATTATGTGGAGTTCTACCTCGAAAAGCAGCTACAATAATTTCACTCATGTTGTCGACAATAGTTGCGGTCGTGTTTTGTAAACACTGTCTTTAACATATCCCCATAAAAAACTCGACTAGATAAAATCAGAAGCATTTAAGCTCGCATTTAAGTATTCTATTATTTGGTGAATGCACACTACATTCACCTACTAATAGAAAAATATCAATTCTCTCTGATGTAGGATAAGTTAGTATTTTCGGCAAATTTCTGAATTTTTTTTTGTTTTAACTGACGCAAAACGATAACTAGTTTTTAAAGAAGATCTAACATTTTTGTCTCATTTGAAACACTTTCTTTATATGGACTAGTGATTTATTATATACATATAAGTACTATTATTTACATACGTGATAATGTAAGTAAACAATTCGTTTTAAATAGTACCTAATACAATAAAAAGTTTAATCGGCAAAAACCTGACATAAATATTTTTTACGTTCTGACATAAAATATTATCTTTCATAATTAAGTATATGTCTCATTTCCTGCCTTGGGAAAAACAGCTATTAGATAAAAAATACATATTTAGATATCTCACCTACTTATTATCAAAATACTAAGTTTTGTACTAATATTACTGTTTTTTTTATA